CATGCCTAACATGCTAGGAGCTCCCTATCAGGTATAATTCCACCTAAAGTTGTCAAGAGGGGGGAAGAAAGTTATTTTACCTTGAAACAATGGCAGCATTTGTTCTCTGTTCTTATAAGCAGTGACGAGTTACCTCAGCAGCAGCTCTCAAAAGAAAACCTAGAAACCGTAATTGGCTAAACTCAGAGAGCACTAAAACAAAAAGCCATTGCAAAAGACTCCCCTTCAAAGTGCCTTTTTTAACGTGCAACCTTTGCAGAAGTAGTCAAAAGAAGAGCGGGAGGAGGAATAGTACGATAGTCTGGCCTTTTTCAACCTAGCATCTTCAGGAGAGGATTGAAAAGTAAACTTCAGAGGAGAAAAACTCGTAGGTCATTTCCATCCTCTACAGCAAATGCTGGTTTGGCTCATCTTACGCACGCGCAGAGTCGAGCTTTTACTGGGAATCCGTTTCTAAGTCAGATCACTTGCATTTGAGGGAAGATCACATCCAACTTTGCATTTTTTTAAAGACACTTTAGTTAGAACTAGGAAGACAAATGCATTATTACATCCAACTGTTGCAGAGAGAGGGGCGAGCAAATTTTCTACAGGTAAATAAAAACCTTCTCCAGCTGAAGAAAAAAGCCAGATTTTACCAAAACACAGAGATGCAACCTGACTGAAGGGGGGCTCGCTTTCACTTTAACAAAATCCTTTGCATTCTTTACCCCTTGGAAAGGCAGCTAGAGGACCCTCTGCTTGCCTAGCACCAAAGAAAAGACTGGGGCACCTTCCTGAAATATGATGATCGTGGAAATAGCAGCTCCTAGACAGGATGCTTGGAAAGCATTTTGCTGTCACTATCAACTAACCCTGAGTAATACACTTAAAGAAAGCAAAGTATGGGCATTGTTTTAAGTGTAGATTAGCAGTGGAATGGTGGTGGGGTGGTGGGTTTTTTTTTTAAAGGAGGGTGGGTGAAGCTATTGAAGAGGCAGCATGACCTTTGTACGCTAAACTGGCAACACAGGCAGTAGATAGACTTTGCAAGTATTTTAAGAGATAAGCACATTCTAAGTTTCTGATAGGTTTCAGATTATAAACAAATACAGGGGTAATTCTGGAATGTAAGTACGCTGATCAAGCAGAACTGTGAGGCTTTAAACTGTTCTCTTGTCACTTATAACCTAAAAATACTGAGTTGTTTCCCTTCCCCCCGTTTACTTTGAAGCCACTGAACTACCAGAGTTCCTGCCGGAGAACACAGAGGTAGATTAGAAATTCAAATAAGCATTGTGTGACCTCAAGTGAGGCAGGTCTTGATTTTTATTCATGTTTTATCACAGCTTGGAAATAAAAGATCTCTTTGGGACCATTTTTAGAAGAATTCCCAACTTTTCAAATATACCAGCTCTTCTTTTTTTCCATCTTCATCTCCCCTCTGTTGCCTGCCTCCAGTACAGGGAGTGCAGCTGGACCCCGCGCCTTCCAGTAAATAGGATGTTCCAGTTCTGGTACATTTTTCTTGTATAGTGCAAATGACTTTGAACGTTTTAAAATAAGACGTGCCCCCGCGTAGCTGGGCCCCAGCGATAAGTACGCGTGCGAGGCTCGCGCGTTACCGCTATCTGTGGTAATGCTCACGCTTTCGCAGTGTCCCAGAAAAAGTAATTTAACCATGCAGTTCAGCAGAGTTCGTGAAAACACTCAACTTGGAATAAAGATAAGCAAAAAAGCTGCTGTTCAATTGCTCCAGTGTTACTTTTGTTACAAAAAAAAAGTCATTTTTGCATTTAAAAAACGAATTTTAGGCACATGCTTTCTGCAGTCTGCACTGTTCAAAAGTAATGGCTTCTTTCAAAACCATATGTCCATGAAGCTCGCGATTTGGTGCTGCAGAAACCTGGACACAGTGTCTGCACCAGTGGGGGTCACTTTTCTTTTCATCCTGCCGGATCAGCTATAATGACTTGATGTCAGGGAATATGTAGAGACAGCTCCAGAAGAGGAAAGTTTGAGCATGGCAGCAGGATTCCCTTCTTCTCTGCAGACAGATCACTGGAGCCTTTGATATGCAAAAACATTGTTTTCAGCTCTGTGTCTTGAGATATGAAAGGGAAGTGCGAGATATCAAACAATCAAAACCTGAAGAAAACTATTCTAAGTTTAGAAAAGGGAGTGGGGGGTATAGTCTTAATCCACATTTTTGAAACAGTGTCGTCTTCTCCAGAGAGACCTGCTTTTATTTTTCTCTCTCGTTTTCACATAATTTTGAGAGAAGGGATAAAAAACATTCCAAGAACTTAATGAGCTTTAGTGCTTTCATTTTAATCCTACACATTGCAGCTCTTCTAATAGCGGCAATAAACGAAGGGATGACTGTCAAATGGAGCAAAGAGGAAACAGTTTATATGCTAGAAAGGTAAAACAAATGAACTTAACTTTCTCATGTGTGGATGTATATATGTAATCTATCCGTACTAGAGCCTCTGTTTTGCATAATACCAACGTGTTTTTTACAGCTCTAAAAGCTCTAAAGAAAATTGATGGGTTGGTTTGGGTTTGTGTTTTTTCTTTTTTTTTTTTTTTAAGTACTTAAAAGTTATTGTAGCCTTCAAAGGCCTATTTAACAAATTTATATTCTTGCTTCACAGTATAATTCCAGAAAATACCCTCTCTCACAATGTCACATTAGTTCCTAAGGGATACCATTTTTTTATACAGCTGTTAGGCAACTGTTTAGTTCAGAGTTTCAGGACTAGAGCCTGGATGTCTTTCCCCAAACACTTCAGTAATACAGACCAAGAAAAATGTACACTGCAGGTATATGGAGCTTCTTTGCTCCATTTTATAATAATAATTGCTGAAGTTACCAACAAAACATGCATTCTCTTATATTCTAAAATGTGGCCACACAGACTGAGAGTTTTTGCCTTAAATAAAGCATACATTAAAGTACTTATTTGCAGGAGTGGGAGGATGGGGGGGTGTCTCATTTTAAGTTACTATTTTCATTACACAACTGCTGAAACAAGGTGGAGGGGAAAAAAAAACCCCTAAAACCAAAGCTCAGATGAGGATGAAAGAGCATGAGCATCAGGAGAGAAAAGACTTTACCATTTTCCTCACCAGACACCATCTCTAAAGCAGGAGGCTTTTTTTTTTTAATGGTCAGTATTTTTCTGTGGAAACCAACAGCGTCATTTGTACCCATGTCAGTAATTTTGTATCAGTGCATGTTTCCTATCACAGTAGGAGCCTTGCAGATCTATTTCACGATGGACCTGCTTCAAACTGCAAGAGTTTTAAAACAGAGGCTGTTTTGCTTCAGGTCTGGTGTTTTATACAGGACCCGGAGCTGCTCTAGGTCAGCTCCTCGGAAGGCAGCGAAGCAAGCATTACGCAGCACGCTGTCTCTCCCCAGCACGTCAGTACTGAGGGCTCTGCTCGGTTCCCCAGAGAACACGCAGCCACGAACAGGAGAAGCAAGTAAATGTTCAGGATTTTTTAAATTTCAGATTTAACAATGTCAGACATACTTTTAGGGAACACAGACTCTGTATCTCAGTGATATACACAATCTGCAGTAGTGGTATGAAGTAGCCAGAGTTAAAAGACTCTACTTGAAAATAACCACAGAATTTACGTTCTTCAAGAAACGGCAACAGCCAAGATTGAGCCTATTTTTCTGTTTGAAATTTGAAAAATCAGATAAAATGCTAACCTAAACACAGATTCCGCTGTGCAAAATGACAAATACAGTGGCTGAAAAGTTCAGACAGCCTAGCACATCGAACACGTTTCATGGACAAAACTGTTGTCAAAGGATTGATACAGGTACCTAGCTAGTCCCCAGTTCACCATCAGCATGTTTCAAATGTGAAATATCAATACAGTATTTTAGTTTCCCCTTTCATTTAAGAACTACTGAATGATAACTAGCTTCTTCTACATTAAAAACCAAGGATGGGATCGTTTTCTACCTCAATTTACCAAGAACACCAAGCAAGCAACCGTGTTAGCCTCAGGTGGGAAACATCACTTGCAAAGGTTTTGTTCCTGTTCCTGTCTGTTGATTCAGGATAGCTTTAGTTTCTATTGGAAGGAAAGACGGTTCCAGCAGAACTGTAGTAACGTCAGTCTAAATAGCAAAATGTGTTCTCAAAGAGCTCTGTATTTTGCTGAAATACCAGTATTTTGGAAAACAAGATGTGCTAGCCATATATACAGTAAGCACAGCCAAGACTCTGAATACTGGTGTCTACCAGCTGTTACTAATTCAATGTTTTTTCCCTCTTTTTTTTTTTTTCCCACTTTCACAGGAAATTAAGCATTCAAGGAAAACTTTAACAGGGGAGTTTTCTGAGAAGGAGATTGTATATTTGTGGAGTTTTTTTGATGAAGAAAACCATCTGAATTTGAATTGCCTGGCGTTTCTACGGTAGAGTAACTTGCATTCTGCAGCGCAGAAGGAATTCTTTCCTGCATTACAGTTTTGGCAGAAGTGTTAAAAAGTGAGAGTTGGAAAATGGTTCTCTCCAAGAGGTGTGGATGTATCGGGATGTAGCTACTGTACAAAGTTTATACTTGGATAACTGTGGACAGGAAAAGCAGGCCCTGTTCCTGACCTCCTGAAGAAGCTAGCATCCTTCAAGCCTCAGCATAATGAATAGTTTCCATCACGCGGCACTGAAGTTACCACCTCCGACTACTGGGCTGCACAGGAAAGTTTGTAAGAGTTACAAAGCGAGTAATTTCTGCTGAAGGCATTAAAGCAAACAGAAGAGGCTCTTCATGCACAAACTTTACAGGAGGACAAAAACAGAGGGAAGCTGAAGCTTTTCTACACCCTGGCCTGGTGTGCCTATGTACCGTGATCAATCTTGGTTGGAATGCTCATTGAGTGTCGTGCCAGGAGCCAGGAAACACACACCACTGAGGAGGACCGTCCGAGTAAACACCACTGAGAAAAACACAGCTCCATGGAGTGAACCGTAAGAGTGACTCGCGAGACAGACATTCCTTTACTGGATATCCTCAAGCACAAATTTACTCATACCTTTAAATACGGTAGGATCAATATGAATTTATTTTCCTTTTTGTGCCTCAGAGAATAAAGTTCAATTAATATATGAACCCACAAGAGAAAAGGTCATGACACCGCTTAATGCATAGGTCATCTTGCAGAAGTTCTCACAACCCTAATTACAATGGTAATTCAATTAGGTTTTCTTAAAAGCTATAAAAATGCTAATTACCTGAGCTCAGTATACAAACATACTACCAAGGCAAGGTACAATTTCAGTCTCAAGAATTAATTTATATTATCCTACCCTGCACAATTTGAACTAATAAGATGGGAAAACGTGGTGAAACCTGCCAAGTAGTCTCTTACTAGTGTACTGCTTAGTAAGATGACTTTTGAGAATGACAAATATTTAAACGTGAAATTAAGCATGTAATGAAATATTCCACCCAGTCAACTAGAAATCTATAGCTCTAACAGCTATGTCAGGTCATTCGCTACCTACCCAATTTCATATTCACTTTTCTAAACATACCCACTCAAAACCCAAGAAAAGTAGGCTACAGTATTTGTAAGATGCACAGTGTGACACTGAGCACTTGGAAGAAAGTCTTTGGCTGGCCTTTGCTCTTTTGTCTGCATTTTATGCTTCGCCACTGGGATTTTTTTGAACCTCCAAAATAGCTCCCACTAAACTTGTAGGTTTGGTAAGGGGTTTATAGTTCACTTAAGGGCTCCTGGGGTAGTTAGCTGGCTTAGGAATTACTCCTTATCTTTCAGATATAGAATGATTCACTTGAACTCTGGTGTGACTTCAGCTCTGTACTTATCTGGTATCTGTGGATGAAGATTGTCTCTACACAGGAAGTGCGAAGGACTCCTCTGAAAGAGCCTTCTTGCTTAAGCAAAGCAATTCACAGAGCAGACATATTTGATTATATTACTTTCAATTACTATAAAGAATAACCTGTTAGCGTAATTGAATTAGTATGAGAAGTAGTACAATTATTGATGTAAGAAAAAGTAAAATGTGTCTCTAAGCTTGAATTTTAGTTTAATATGCGTGTTTCGACGTCTTCTGTAATGTTGAAGTTGAATTTTCATTGCAGTTTCTTCACTGATGATCTGGATAATTTTGTTTGTTTGGTTTTTTTAGATTGTTGAAGATCAGAACTGTATACAAATCTCATCATTCCTGACCATGATTAGTGTAACCTGGAGCATCTTCCTAGTTTGGACTAAAATAGGGCTGTTCCTTGACATGGCACCTTACTCTGTTAGTGCCAAACCATGCCCTTCAGTATGTCGCTGTGATGTGGGTTTCATATATTGTAATGATCGCGATTTGACGTCTATTCCTACAGGAATCCCAGAGGATGCTACTACTCTCTTCCTTCAGAACAATCAAATAAATAATGCTGGGATTCCTTCAGAACTGAAGAACTTGCTTAGGGTGGAAAGAATATATTTATACCACAACAGCCTAGATGAATTCCCCACTAACCTCCCTAAGTATGTTAAGGAACTGCATTTGCAGGAGAACAATATAAGGACCATTACTTATGATTCACTTTCCCAAATTCCTTATCTGGAAGAACTGCATTTGGATGATAACTCTGTTTCTGCTGTTAGCATTGAGGATGGAGCTTTCCGGGACAACATCTATCTCAGACTTCTTTTTCTCTCTCGAAATCACCTTAGCACCATTCCCTGGGGTTTGCCTAAAACGATAGAAGAGCTACGCTTGGATGATAATCGTATTTCCACGATTTCAGAGCTGTCCCTTCAAGACCTTACAAATCTAAAACGCCTTGTTTTAGATGGAAATCTTCTAAACAATCACGGATTAGGAGACAAAGTCTTCATGAATCTAGTCAATCTTACAGAACTGTCACTGGTTCGTAATTCGCTCACAGCCGCACCAGTAAATTTGCCAGGAACAAACCTAAGAAAACTTTATCTTCAAGAAAACCACATCAACCGCGTGCCACCCAATGCTTTCTCTTACTTAAGGCAGTTGTACAGACTAGATATGTCCAATAACAATCTTAGCAACTTACCTCAGGGTGTCTTCGATGATCTGGACAACATAACTCAACTGTTTCTCCGCAACAACCCTTGGCACTGCGGGTGCAAAATGAAATGGGTACGCGACTGGTTACAGTCACTGCCTTTAAAAGTCAACGTACGTGGACTGATGTGTCAGGCCCCAGAAAAAGTACGTGGGATGGCTATCAAAGACCTCAACGCGGAACTGTTTGATTGTAAAGACGATGGCGTGATCAGCACCATCCAAATCACTACTGTGGTACCAAACACATTATACCCGGCCCAGGGACACTGGCCGGTTTCAGTGACCAAACAGCCAGACATCAAGACCCCCAACCTAAATAAAAACTACAGAACCACAGCGAGCCCAGTACGCAAAACCATTACGATATTTGTGAAATCCGTAAGCACGGAAACTATTCACATCTCCTGGAAAGTTGCACTACCAATGACTGCTTTAAGACTGAGCTGGCTTAAGATGGGTCACAGCCCTGCCTTTGGATCTATAACTGAAACAATAGTAACTGGCGACAGAAACGACTATTTGCTCACGGCTCTCGAACCAGAATCCCCATACCGTGTATGCATGGTTCCCATGGAAACCAGCAACATCTATCTCTCTGACGAAACGCCCGAATGCATTGAGACGGAGACGGCACCTCTTAAGATGTACAACCCTACTACGACCCTCAATCGGGAGCAGGAAAAAGAACCTTACAAAAACTCCAGCTTGCCCTTGGCCGCCATCATCGGCGGCGCCGTGGCACTGGTGGCCATAGCGCTGCTGGCACTGGTCTGCTGGTACGTCCACAGAAACGGGTCCCTGTTCTCCCGGAACTGCGCCTACAGCAAGGGACGCCGGAGAAAAGACGACTATGCTGAAGCGGGAACCAAGAAGGATAACTCCATCCTAGAAATCAGGGAGACTTCTTTCCAGATGATACCGATAACCAATGACCAAGTGTCCAAGGAGGAATTTGTAATACACACCATCTTCCCCCCTAACGGCATGAATCTCTACAAGAACAGCCACAGTGAAAGCAGTAGTAACAGGAGCTACAGAGACAGTGGTATTCCAGATTCAGATCATTCGCACTCATGATACTGAAGGACACAAAAGACTGGTTTGGGTTTTGTTGGTTTTTTTGGGGTTTTGTTTTGTTTTTTAAAGAAAACGAGAAAAGACTGACTTAACGGTTGCTGTTCTACTGCAAAACACTGGATTAAAAGACTGACAAAGCAATGTACTGTACATTTGCCATATAATTTATATTTAAGAACTTTTTATTAAAAGTTTCAAATTTCAGGCTACTGCTGCGATTAATGTAGTGGGGATACCTGACCACAATTCTATATTTTAGTATTTTTTAGTAATTTGTACTGTATTTTCCTTGCTAATATTGAAGTTACAGACCATTTAACTTTTGTGTTCTACTGAGTAAGATGACTTGTTGACTGTGAAAGTGAATTTTCTTGCCGTGTCGAGCAGTCAGAACATTCATCTGAGATCCTTGTAAGTGTAAGCACAGGCCATTTTTCACTTTGGTATCAATAAAATAATGTTGAACCTGGCAAATCAGGAAGATCAAGAGGTGGTTGCAAAAAACTCACAGAACTTTCAATGTTGGCTCTATTAAATCTGTAAACCACAACAGTATTCAATAAACAAAAATGAGTGTAGTAATGGGCAATATCAGCTGTTTGGATATATCCATTCAACAATGGTGAAATCCAATTTAAATGAAAATAATCAAATTGATGACATGCATGAGACTGCAGCTGTTGACAGGCGTAAAAAAATTGATCCCTGGAAGAAAGCATAATCAAATTCCTAACAAGGAATGTGAAAATACATGCTAGACGTTACAAACTAAGGGGGTAGATATGGTTTAGGGATAGATTTCTCCTCGTCAAAGCCAGCGTTCTGCTTAGTACAGAGAGCGTGGTGATAGATGGTCACAGGCATTTGAGAGGCAAGGGCAGGACAAGAGAGGACAACACCTAGAAACTGCTTCAAACAAAAATAAATGGGTTGGAAGTGCAGTTTCATAAGGAAAAAAAATATAGGGCAGTTCAAAAAACCCAGGCATTATAAGCCAGGTCTCAAAAACTTGAGTCACGAAGGTAAACGAACAGTTGGGGAATACAGCTGTTTTAAAGCGTAAAGGTCTGTGTTCGATACGCTGCCATTACAGTCAGGCATACTGCCCATTACTGTCACAGTTTTCCAGAAATTCCTTGAAAAGTCTGTAAGGTAACATGTTTCTCTCCGCCT